CACAGTCCTCCCCCCGTCTCCCCGACCCCGTGTCTCTCCCCGCAGCCTCCCGAGCCGACCTGGTGCGAGATATCCGGTGCGAGTTTTGCGGCGAATTCTTCGAGAACCGCAAAGGTTTGTCGAGCCACGCTCGATCCCACCTCCGACAAATGGGGGTGACCGAGTGGTCGGTCAACGGTTCGCCCATCGACACGCTCCGAGAGATCCTCAAGAAGAAATCCAAACCTTGCATTATCAAGAAAGAACCTCACACCTCCAGCATCGAACCCCCTAAATCCATGGGGGAGGAAGGGACGGACCCCAAGTCTCCCGGAAAAATCCTACAGGGAATGGCCCTGCCTTCCCTGGGCGGGCGGACGGGGAAACCCGGCCCCGGCGGTTCCACTTTGAACCGGGAGATCTCATTGTTGCCTCTCACCAGCAAACCCCAAGGCGGTTTCCTGACGCCGTTATCTGCCAAACGGCCGTTACCGGACGATCGGTTGGGTCCTCACGCCGAAGTCAAGCACAAAGCGTACATCCAGACCGAGCTGCCCTTCAAAACCAAGTCCGTGCACGACAAACCGGCGCACACGTGTAAGTTCGGGGACACGGGATGGGAACGGGGAGAAGTGCGGTGGTAATTCCTCCGGGATGTCCGTCATGCACGGGGAACCCCCAGCCCTGTGCCGGGAAGGATTTTTGGCTCATGGGGATGCAGAGTGGGGCGATTTTGTGGCCTTGCTTCCCCGCATCCAAATTAGCCTGGCTAATTAGCCTTACCCCTGGCCACCAGACCCCCAGCGGGGCTGGGGGATGCTTCCAGGGGTGGAAAACGTGGGGAATTCCGATCCCGCCGAGGATCTGCCTCCGTGCAGAGCCGGCGTTGGGGGGAACCGGCTTGGTGCCGCGTCCTTGCCTTCACCCGCTCACCCCTGCCGTGTGTTTTTTTTTTTTTCTCTCCTGCCCTCGCGACTCCCCAGCCGGCGAAGCCTGCTGCGAACTGTGCGGCCTCTACTTCGAAAACCGCAAAGCCTTGGCCAGCCACGCGCGGGCGCACCTCCGGCAATTCGGCGTCACCGAATGGTGCGTTAACGGTTCGCCTATCGAGACCCTCAGCGAATGGATCCGACACCGACCCCAAAAAGCCGTCGCTTACCGCAGCTACATCCAAGGCGGCCGACCCTTCACTAAGAAATTCCGTAACTCTTCCCACGCCCGGCATCACAACGGCGGGGATGCCGCTCAGCCTTCAAGCCGGCGGCGTCACCCTTCTGAACAAAGGATTGATGGGAGATTTGGCTCACGGCGACGCCGGAAAAATCCTGGATGGGGGAAGCGGCGGTGAGCGGCCCATGATCACGTCCCCCCTCTCCTTGCTGAGGTTGGAGGAACATCAGCGCTCGAACATCAACAGTGAGTTGGGGAGAAGTTGTCCGGGAGAGGGCAGAGGGGCCTCCGGCACCGGCAGAGCACCGGGATGATCCCTGCCCTGTCCCCTCTGCCCGTTCCCGGCAGCGCCAGGGCGGGGGTTCTTTAGCTGAGAGCTCCCCCCTCTCCTTCCTTCCTCCCTCCTCCCTCCCTCCGTCCTCCCTTCTTCCTTCCTCCCTCCTCCTCTGTCTTCCTCCCTCCTCCTCTGTCTTCCTCCCTCCTCCTCTGTCTTCCTCCCTCCTCCTCTGTCTTCCTCCCTCCTCCTCTGTCTTCCTCCCTCCTCCTCTGTCTTCCTCCCTCCTCCTCTGTCTTCCTCCCTCCTCCTCTGTCTTCCTCCCTCCTCCTCTGTCTTCCTCCCTCCTCCTCTGTCTTCCTCCCTCCTCCTCTGTCTTCCTCCCTCCTCCTCTGTCTTCCTCCCTCCTCCTCTGTCTTCCTCCCTCCTCCTCTGTCTTCCTCCCTCCTCCTCTGTCTTCCTCCCTCCTCCTCTGTCTTCCTCCCTCCTCCTCTGTCTTCCTCCCTCCTCCTCTGTCTTCCTCCCTCCTCCTCTGTCTTCCTCCCTCCTCCTCTGTCTTCCTCCCTCCTCCTCTGTCTTCCTCCCTCCTCCTCTGTCTTCCTCCCTCCTCCTCTGTCTTCCTCCCTCCTCCTCTGTCTTCCTCCCTCCTCCTCTGTCTTCCTCCCTCCTCCTCTGTCTTCCTCCCTCCTCCTCTGTCTTCCTCCCTCCTCCTCTGTCTTCCTCCCTCCTCCTCTGTCTTCCTCCCTCCTCCTCTGTCTTCCTCCCTCCTCCTCTGTCTTCCTCCCTCCTCCTCTGTCTTCCTCCCTCCTCCTCTGTCTTCCTCCCTCCTCCTCTGTCTTCCTCCCTCCTCCTCTGTCTTCCTCCCTCCTCCTCTGTCTTCCTCCCTCCTCCTCTGTCTTCCTCCCTCCTCCTCTGTCTTCCTCCCTCCTCCTCTGTCTTCCTCCCTCCTCCTCTGTCTTCCTCCCTCCTCCTCTGTCTTCCTCCCTCCTCCTCTGTCTTCCTCCCTCCTCCTCTGTCTTCCTCCCTCCTCCTCTGTCTTCCTCCCTCCTCCTCTGTCTTCCTCCCTCCTCCTCTGTCTTCCTCCCTCCTCCTCTGTCTTCCTCCCTCCTCCTCTGTCTTCCTCCCTCCTCCTCTGTCTTCCTCCCTCCTCCTCTGTCTTCCTCCCTCCTCCTCTGTCTTCCTCCCTCCTCCTCTGTCTTCCTCCCTCCTCCTCTGTCTTCCTCCCTCCTCCTCTGTCTTCCTCCCTCCTCCTCTGTCTTCCTCCCTCCTCCTCTGTCTTCCTCCCTCCTCCTCTGTCTTCCTCCCTCCTCCTCTGTCTTCCTCCCTCCTCCTCTGTCTTCCTCCCTCCTCCTCTGTCTTCCTCCCTCCTCCTCTGTCTTCCTCCCTCCTCCTCTGTCTTCCTCCCTCCTCCTCTGTCTTCCTCCCTCCTCCTCTGTCTTCCTCCCTCCTCCTCTGTCTTCCTCCCTCCTCCTCTGTCTTCCTCCCTCCTCCTCTGTCTTCCTCCCTCCTCCTCTGTCTTCCTCCCTCCTCCTCTGTCTTCCTCCCTCCTCCTCTGTCTTCCTCCCTCCTCCTCTGTCTTCCTCCCTCCTCCTCTGTCTTCCTCCCTCCTCCTCTGTCTTCCTCCCTCCTCCTCTGCCTTCCTTCCTTCCTCCACCTTTTGCCTTCTCTTCCCTTCCTCCCCTTTTCTCCTCCTTCCTTCTTTGCCTGCCTTCCTCCACCTTTCTTCTTCTCTCTCCTTCCTTCCTCTGTCCACCTTCCTCCTCCTCCTCCTCCTCCTCCTCCTCCTTTGCCTGCCTTCCTCCTCTTCTTCCTCCCTTCCATGATGCTGCGGGCGTCGGGGAGCCGAGAGCAGAGAGGCTGGGCCCGCAAGG